AACAACCCATGTTTCGTTCGTTTTTTCTCTGCTGTACAATCGAAGGTTACCATCATAATCAATGGTCAACCTTCTCTGGATCCAGCTTGCACCGTAATCTATAGACCGAAAAATTAAATTATCACTTGAACTAAAATTGCCAAAGGAATCGATCGTTGCATTTCTCCTGTTGTAGCTGAACCTTTCTTGATTCCAGCTTGGAATCCATGGATAGGGCCAATAAACACTTGACATCTGAGGACCCTCAAAAAGGAGACGAAGAACACTATCATCATCGAAAAAGAACTTATAGAATCCAGAAGAATAGCTGCCTTTTCTTCTTCTAGAGACAAGTGCTTGTATCTGGTGAATGGTTGTAGAGGAAGAAGGGTATCTGTAGGAGAATCAAAACTCTGCCATAAAATAGTACCCTCAGAATTACTCAGAATAAGATTACCGTAGTCGTTGAGGTGCAACTGCACTGAGGGCAGGGAAGCTGTGCCTGTGGCCCAAACGTTGAACTGAGCAGCATCAGTTAGAATAAGATTGCCAGTTCCTAAGAGCGAAAGCTTAGACCGCCGTCCGTTAATCGGATGATCACGGTTTGCCATCCAAACAACGGTGCAATTGTGAACAAGACAAGTTGGTTTGCTGAACCATATGGCAAAAGCATAAGCATTTTCGCCAACAGGATAAAAGCCAGCAGAAAAAGTGCCCGTTGGTGATATTATAACATCTCCCGGATTCTCTACAGAAAGAGATGATCCTTCGCTCAAGTTTTGATATGTTGAAGATGACAATGGAGTTAACAACATCAAAGATAAAATAAGTGAAAAATATAAGAAACCCATTCGAAGCTTCAAGGTGAAAGTTAAAATAGGGGATAGTTAGGGTTTATCTTTAACCAGCTTAAATAGACATTTGCCCGAACTCGTATTAAATTCTTAGTTTTAGTAACCAAAATTCAAATCTTCAAGGTATCAAATAAAAATTTGAGAATAAATGAATTCATTGCATTCTTCCTTACGGCTTACAAGGGAAGAATGCATTGCATTCGTGTTCTCCGGAATGTCAGACCCAAGTGTCACGTTCTCCAAATAATATAAAAGTAAAAATAGTAAAGAAAGTTTGTGATGCTTGAAGAATAAAAATATATTTTAGGACTACACTTTGACAACGAAATCAGAAGGCTGGCAACCAACAGTGAAAAGCACAAAGAAGAAAGACTTGACGTTTCCCGCCAGTAGGATTTCTGATTAGGTTGCGAAGGCTTGGTTATTTTGTCTAGCTAGGAAAGCTAAAACTTGTTGTTGATTGACAAAATTTTGTGTTATTAGCTTGATACAAAAAGGTCCATGCTGAAACCTATACGGACTAATTAATGCAGGTTTTAACGGTAACTTCAAAACTGATATGACTGCTGATAGCGATCAGAGTCTGAGACCTTAGTTTGACCGTACGAAAAAAGGGAGTGACCCAAAGGGTTAAATTTCCGCCATGTTTCCTTTATCGTGCAAGGAATGAGGTCATAAGTTAATGAGATTCTATTCAAATTCAATGCCCCTGTAAAAAAAAGTACGATTAGGAACTTGACTTTTGGTGATCGGACTTGCGTGGAAAATACAGGTGTTTTAGAAAGAATATTAAAAAAAAATAACTGTTTTTCTTCAATTCTAACAAAATCTTTTGAGAAATTTACTGAACCACCGCCCGCCAATGGCCTACAAAATTGCCTGCGTACTCTATGATGTATTACGTTCGTTAATTCCCTTTCATTTTCATAGGTTTATAATCGTAAAGTTTATTTAGATTTCGCCTTAAAAGCGATGAAATAAATAAATAATTTTTTGGGATTTTGAACTATGCATCTTTGGATTTGTCCAATGCATAAAAGATCTGTTAATTTTATTGAAGGAAAACTTTTAACAGTTTCAAAAGTTAGTTAGAGATTTTTTTTATAGTTGAAATTATAGTTATTAAATCCCAATCATCTGGGTGGTAGAATTGGTTGACCTCTTGATTCGGGCCGATTATTTATTTGAATTATTTTATGCATTTGATTAGAAAAAATTCAAATTAATTAATTTATTTTTTATTAATTCAGATAGATTAAATATCATTTTTTAATGATTTTAAAATCATATTTAACTTTATTTTTGCATACTAATTATTGGTTCGTCCATTCTCTCATAAAAATTATTTTTCTTAAAAAATTAAAAATAAAAAATAGAAATATATTTTTTAAAACTAAAAAGCAAAATTATTATAATATACTTATTGTGGATGGTATGCTTTTAGTAAGTTTAGTTTTCTTTGGCCATCAGTCATGTGTTATATCAATAAAATACTAGATTCTTAATTTCAGTAATTAAAATTAAAATTTTGACAATTTTAAATATTAAAAAGAACTTTGTTTTCTATGTAATTTTTAAATAATAATAAATATTTTTAATTCGTATATCATAAAATTTTAAAATTAATACAATTAAAAAAATATTTATATAACATGTAATTTTATTTATAATATTTTAAAATAATTTTATTAATTCAATATTGATCTAAATTATCCATAGATTGAATCACATCGGTTCAGTTGAGAATTATTATAGAAAATTATATAATTTACAATTCTCTTTTTTTTTTTATTTTACTTTTTCACTATCGAATTAATTGCCATATCATATGATTCTCTATGAATAAGTTTGGCGAGTTAGCATTAAATAAAGTGAACTGATATTTCTAAGAAAATCTAGAGAAGTGAAATCCTCTATGTTAAATAGAGAGAGTTTTGACATTTATCACTGCTTAATTTCGTAGAATGGAAGATTTAAAAAGTTCATCTGGCCAAGCATCCTGATTGTTCAAACAAGATCAGAGATGGAAATTAGACATGCCAAACCACAAAAGCCATTTATCACTTGGCCATTTGTGAAGAGATAATCTATTAATTAAAGCCCTTGAAATGGTTTCTTATACTAAATGGGCCTAATATGTGAGCCTACTTCAAACAATAACATTGTTGTTCAGCCCAATTTTGGTTTGGGGATTTCAAATTTTTTTGCCCTAAACTCAATTCTCGCTCCGGTTGATTTGAAAATTTTTTTTTAAAATATATTTAATAAACGAAAATTAAAATTATTTTTTTTAAATGTAAAAATAAAGAAATAAATAAAATATTTAATAATATTACTATTAATGTTATATAATTATAAATATAATATCTATTTATTAATTAATAAAATTAAAAATGTTTAAATATGATAACTCGCAAAACATAAAAAAAAATGTATATATCTTATTTTCACAATTGAAAATATCTTTTTTTTTTATTTTTAATTAGCAACTACGTTATTTACTTATATTTTTCATTTTCTTGAAAAATAAAAGCCAAAAATTGTTCTGTTTCTAAAATTAAATATTATCGTAAATTATATCAATTTTTATAATAATTCTCAATTGAACCAAATTGATCGGTTAAAGATTTTAGATCATATGATTCAATAGGTGGATAATTCAAATCAATATTAAATTAATAACAATATTTTACAATATTATAAATAAAATTGTGTGTTATATAAATATTTTCTTTAATTGTATAAATTTTAAAAATTATGATATATGAATAAAAATATTCATTAGTATTTAAAAATTATAAAAAAATTAATTTTTTTTACTTGAAATTATCAAGATTTGAATTTTAATTATCGAAATTAAGAGTTTAACGCTTACTCAACATAACATATGACTGTTACCTAAAAAAAAAACTAAACTTATTAGAAGCATATCACCCACAATAATTATATTACAATAAAATTAACTAATCTCTTACGCATTGGACAAAACCAAAAATATATGGTCAGAAATCCCAAAAAATTATCTATTTACTTCATCGCTTTTCAGGCAAATACGATTGTAAACTTATGAAAATGAAAAAGAATTAAAGAACGTAACATATCATAAAGCACTTCAATAACAACCCATGTAATGTAACTTTATTTCAATAAAAAAAAATAGGTGTTCATGGGTTTCTGTTCATGATTTTGTAACTCGGATTCCACCAGTCAATATTTTTATCATTACATGTTAGTATAATTCATTTCTTGTTACCGGGCCTCCCACATCTGTGTTGCGAATGGTAATGATGCTAGCCTAAACTATTAGCTCATTTACCTTGCATTTTCTGTTTATGGATTCTGGTGCCTCAGCTGCTTTTTGCAAAATATTAGGCAGGCAATTGCGCAGGGCTTTACGGGGAAGTCAACTCCCAAAGTGGTGCGGATGAACTATCGGGCCCAGCCTAGGTTCCTGTTTTTTTGTCCAAGAGCTAAGCAATCTGTTTTTCCAAGTTCTAAAGTCAATGATGTCATGCCGAAAATTGATTTTGACGTTGGTTGTTGGGTCTAATTTTCTGCAATCATCTGTAATAATCTCTCGTAATTTAAGTTATTTGTTATTTTTTTAACTACAAAGCCAAATCTAGTGTGGAAATTATCATTTTATTGATTTTTTTAGGGTTTTTCCCCATAATCACGCTACTCTATTCTTTCATAATCGATCTGATACTTTTATTTCCCTTATAGGAAGATGACATCTTGTTGTCATCAAACTCTTCTGATACATCAAGATGTCTTCTCATTGCTAGTTTTTGCAGAAGAATCAGAATGCCATATTTCTATCTACATGCCATGTCGCAGAAGATGTTGAGACGAGCATCAATGAACAAGATAATTAAATCCAGACACGTTTGCCAATCATTTGCACACACCCCAAAAGTGGTTGGTTGCTTTTTCTACCTTTCATCAATGCTTTTCCATAGGCTAGTAAAAGTTTTGAAACTTGAGATGTTTGTATTAGCCTTGCAAACAGTTTGTATCATTCATTTTTCAGAGACTCCACAGTCAAAGCTCACCTGCTTGTCCCTGTTGGTTGCCAACTTTGACGAAGTGCAGTTCTATAAAATATTTTTCTTCTTTTTTTTGTATTATTTGGAGACAGTGAAACCTAAGTCTAACACGCCTGAGAAGACCTATGCACAGTATTCTTCCCTTATAGGCCGTAAGGAAGAATGCAATGAATTATTTCTTCTCAATTTTCTTACTTGATGCTATGGAGATCTGAATTTTGGTTACTAAAAGTAAGAATTTAACACATGACTTTAGACAAATGTCTTTTTAAGCTGCTTAAAGATGAACCCTAACTATCCCCTGGTTTAACTTTCACCTTGAAGCTCCAAATGTGTTCCTTATATTTTTCACTTGTTTTATTTTTGATATTGTTAGCTCCATTGTCATCTTCAACATATCAAAACTTGAGCGAAGGGTCATCGCTTTTCGTGGAAAATCCGGGTGATGTTATAATATCACCAACGGGCACTTTCTCAGCTGGCTTTTATTCTGTAGGCGAAAATGCTTATACTTTTGCCATATGGTTCAGCAAACCAGCATGTCTTGTTCACAATTGCACCGTTGTTTGGATGGCAAACCGTGATCATCCAGTTAACGGAAGGCGGTCAAAGGTCTCGCTCTTAGGAACCGGCAATCTTATCCTAACTGATGCTGCTCAGTTCAACGTTTGGGCCACGGGCACTGCTTCCCAGACCTCAGTGCAGTTGCAGCTCAACAACTACGGTAATCTTGTTCTGAGTAATTCTGAGGGTACTATTTTATGGCAGAGCTTTGATTCTCCTACAGATACCCTTCTTCCTCTACAACCATTCACCAGATACACAGCACTTGTCTCTAGAAGAAGAAAAGGCAACTTTTCCTCTGGCTTCTATAAGTTATTTTTCGATGATGATAATGTTCTGCGTCTCCTTTTTGACGGTCCTGAGATTTCAAGTGTTTATTGGCCCGAACCATGGCTTGTAAGCTGGGAACAAGGAAGGTCCAGATACAACAGTAAGAGAATTGCGAGGATTGATTCCTTTGGCAATTTTAGTTCAAGTGATAATTTTACTATTCGGTCTATGGATTATGGTGCAAGCTGGATCCAGAGAAGATTGATCATCGATTATGATGGTAACCTTCGATTGTACAGCAGAGAAGAAACAAACGAAACATGGATTGTTTCATGGCAAGCTATAAGTCAGCCATGCTCGATTCATGGCCTTTGTGGGGAAAATAGTTTCTGTAGGTATTCTCCGAGTACTGGGAGGAAATGCTTTTGCCTTCAAGGATTCAAGATGAAGAATCAAACTGATTGGTTTTACGGTTGTGAACCAGAAAATGATTTTTCCCTCAATGGTAGTGACTTGACTTTTATCCATGTTCGTAATGCTGACTTTTATGGTTATGATGATTTTGGAGTTTTTTCCAATAATACCTTTAAGGAGTGTGAAACTGGATGCCTGCAGAGGGCCCAATGTAAAGGCTTTCTATATCGATTAATCGGTGAAGTTTTCTATTGTCTCCCTAAGAATCTATTGCGAAACGGGTACCAAGCATCTAGCTTCAATGGAAACATCTATATAAAACTGCCCAAATCATATATCTCCAACAAGAAAAAGGAGCTTTTGAAGGAAATCAATTTAGATTGCCCCAAAAATGGTACTATTAAGCTGGAAAGAAGTTATGCGAAAAGCCAAAAAAATGTGATAGTGAAGTTCATGCTCTGTTTTGCAAGTGCATTGGGAGGAGTTGAGATTATTTCCATCTTTTTGATTTGGTTGTTCTTAAATAGAGCTAGGCAAGAGAAGAATGTAGCTAAAGAAGGCTACCTCCAGACAGCAACTGGATTCAAGAGATTCACATTTGATGAGCTGAAAGAGGCAACACAAAACTTCAGTGAAGAAATTGGAAGAGGAGGGGCAGGTGTTGTGTATAAAGGCATGCTACCTCATGATAGAGTTATAGCAGTTAAGCGACTGAATGAAGCAAATAAAGGAGAAGCTGAGTTCCTAGCAGAAGTAAACACCATTGGGAAACTTAACCACATGAACTTGATCCAAGTGTGGGGATTTTGCGCAGAGAAAAAGCACAGGCTGCTGGTTTATGAATATATGGAGAATGGATCCTTAGCAGAAAAGCTCTCTTCCAATGAACTTGACTGGCAAAAGAGGTACGATATCGCTTTGGGCACTGCAAAAGGCCTAGCTTACCTACATGATGAGTGCTTAGAATGGGTCTTGCATTGTGATGTAAAGCCCCAAAACATACTGCTGGACTCTGGCTACAAACCAAAGGTATCTGATTTCGGCCTATCCAAACTACTTGACAGAGGTAAGCTCTACAATTCTAGCTTTTCAAAGATAAGGGGAACTAGAGGTTACATGGCTCCAGAGTGGGTTTTCAATCAGCCCATTACGTCCAAAGTAGATGTTTACAGCTATGGTATGGTTGTATTGGAAATAGTGACCGGAAAGAGCCCAACAGAAGGGATTAAATTCGTGGGTAGTGCTGAAGGGGAAGAGGAATACGTGTCAGTAACTAGGGTCAAGGAAAAGGAGAAAGGATCAAATTCAATTGAATCAAGGATTGCAGAAATAGTAGACCCCTTGTTGGGAGGCAATTATGATAAGCAAAAGATGGAAATTCTGGTTGCAGTGGCTCTTGATTGCGTACAGGAAAACAGGAATGCAAGGCCCACCATGAGTCAAGTCGTTGAGTGGCTTCTTTTATCTTCACACTGAAAATGAAAACTAGCAGCACTTTGTATGCATCCATGCATTAATTTGTTTAACTCCATTAGCAGTAATCCAAGAATAATTGAAGCTCGCCAAAATTCTTTTCAGCATTCTGGTTTGTGTTTTTTTTTTTTTCCTCATATTCTGCATGTGTTAAAGTTCTTTCGTCAAATGCTGGAATTTATTGCTATTGTACTCTTTATTTTTCTGGTTTTGCCTTTATATGTACAACCTGAATAAATTATCGCTTTCGATTTTCTTTACTTTTTTCATGATGGTTACTCGCTTGATCCAAATAAATATGTTGGGTTCTTTCTCTCCCATTGTAGCTGATCGTTGGGTCAAGACAAAGCACTAACGAAGCAAACTCAACAGCTTACAGGCTTCAGAAAATGGGAAGTTTTAATTTTCAATGGTTTTGTCTTCAATTTTCAGTCCTCTACATCTATGTCATGAGGACGGCTAATTTTTTCTTTTTGTTTTCTCCTAAATAAATTGTTTATTTATATAAAAATAGTTACTGTTGTTTTCTTAGAAAATGACTGAAGGGGAGATTGGTTGGCATTATTTGTTTCTCTGTTCCATTTTAAAGTAGGACAATAATCAAGCTAATTTCAACTATGAATTTTTGGAGAAAAGAGATTATGCATCCATCACTGATAATCAAGCTTGAATATGAATTAACACAAGCGTAGCATGCTAATCAAAACCAAATCAAATACAAAGATGTGAATTCAACTTACAGATAACACCTTTGTTACCACTACAACCCCACTTAAAAGCAATAAAGTGAACAAGACAATTCTCATGTTATTGTTTTTACTTTTCACTTTCGAATTAATTTCCATATCATATTTTTCTCTATGAATAAGTTTGGCGAGTTAGCATTGAATAAGGTGAACTGAAATCCACCATGTTAAATAGAGAAAGTTTGGTCATTTGTCACTGCTTAATTTCGTAGAATCGACGAAAATTGAGGAAAGGATTAAAGAGAACAAAAAAAAAAAAAAGAAAAAGGCTTCCATGCACAGTATTTTCACTGTTCTCTGTTGCAGGATTTCATATTCCAATCCAATGTGTAATTTACACAATGTCAATGTTAAATTGGCTTGAATTGTCTTTCTCACAGAATTAGTATTGATTCAGCACAAAAGTGATTGCATATTTTAAAAAAGGGCAGAGTAGTTTGGGTTTTAACAGGCAAAAAATTAAACCTACATGCTAAATGATTCAAGTACTAAATGATTCAAAGTATTAGGATTTGAAATGTTCATATGGCCAAGCATCCTGATAGTTCAAACAAGATAAGAAATGGAAATTAGACATGCCAAACCATAAAGGCCATTTACCACCTGGCCATTTGTGAAGAGATAATCAATTAATTAAAGCCCTTTGAATGGGTTTGATATACCAGATGGGCCTAACAATGTGAGCCGATTTCAAGTAATAACGCTGTTGTTCAGCCCAGGTTCAGTTTGGGGGCTTCAAATTTGTTTACTCTAAACTCGATGCTTGTTCACTCTATTGCTTTCTAAGTGGGGTTGTAGATGGTAACAAAGGTCCTATCTGTAGCTAAAATTCACAGCTTTGTATTTGATTTGGCTTTGATTAGCATAGCAAGCTTGCATTAATTCATACTCAAGCTTGATTATCAGTGATGGATGCATAATCTCTTTTCTCCAAAAGTTCATAGTCGAAATTAACTTGATTATTGTTCTACTTTAAAATGGAACAGAGAAACAAATAATGCCAACCAATTTCCCCTTCATTCTTACTGTACGTAGTCATTTTCAAAGAAGACTACAGAACTATTAGTATTAAATTTGTGAAACAAGTTCGGTTAGCTGAAGTCAAATCCGCATGCTCCCACTTGATAGCCAGACACAATTGTTGAGCTTGCTTGAAGCTATAAATCACATTACTAATTCCAACTACGCCGGAGAGAATGACAAAATTACCGGTCCCATTCCAACACCGGCAATTTGGCCATTAAAGACAGGAATTCCCCACATGCCAACCATGCTAACAGTGACAATTTGGAAACGTAACAAGTAACTAACCCAGTTTAACCTCCACCCTGAAATGCAGGCAAAACCAAGCTGAAAACCTGAAACTAGTTCCCATAAATTTTGACAGGACTTATCAGGAGATAGCCAAAAAGCAAACCCAGATATAGAATTCCTCTTTATTAGCCAAGAAACCGACTTGGGCTTGATGCTAAGGTAAGATACTATTTTCCTCGAGGGAAACGATCCGACAATATCCTTCTCTCAGGTACTTCGGCTGGTGACGAAAAACAGATCTAAAATCCAATTAGAAACGTACTAAAACCCAAACTTTCTCTGTCTCTTACAATCTGGCCATGGAAAATATTGGCGGAAAAAGTTTGCAGTACCGGACATTACTAAATACTACCAATTGGACCCCCCATTTTGTTCTGCCTATCAGGGCTTATCTTCCCAAATCGAATCCAGTCAATAACACCCCCCCCCCCCCCCCCATTTGCCACTCTCAAGTCTCACACCTCTTTCTTTCAAAACAGCATTAAATTTACGGAACAATTGTTTCATTACATACTTTTAACATTCGCACAGAATTACAGATCAAGTTCACAAAACCCAAGCTTAAGTACAAAAATTCCAAAATTAAAGAAATAAAATAAAAAAACCCAAGCCAAATATAAGAAACCAACACAACAACCCCAGACTAGAAATGAAGTAATATATTTTTATTTGATTCATTTATTTATAATGCTATATATATTAAGTAATTAATTAGAATTATCTGCCTTTGTTAGTGAAATTCATCTTCTCATAATACTGAATAGAAAGAAGAGACAGATAAAGATGAACCTCATCTTTCCCCCACCGAGCAGGCGGTTTGGGGTTAACAATCTTGGGCGGAGCCCAAGATGAAGGTGAAGTAGCTTGTGGTCTCGAAAGCGAACAAAGGTAGAGCGAGTGGAGCCGGCGAAAGCCACCAAGAGGCAAAACAACAGATCTAAGTTGTTGGGTTCCATAGCCGATGTTAGCCCAGTGCCTGGTACAGATCAGCTCCCAAAGCCGCTCGTCTTTGGCAGTTTTGAGCCACAGCTTGCTAACACAAGAGGCCATAGCTAAAGTCCTCGCGTCTACGTGTTTCAAAACCTCGTACAACAGATTTTCATCTAAATTCATCAATCCACTTTCTTCTTCATCGGCTTTTTCTTTTATTTTCTTCATTTTCTGGTCGATTCCGGGTACCTGAGAATCCGGGACACCCCGTTTCATTGACAAAAGCTAAAGCCTTGATATTGGGTATTTTTTTGCGTTGAGATTGATTTGAAAATGGAAAATAACGAGGGGGATGGGGGTGGGTGAGGGCAATGGTCACTGGTTTTGTTGGGTATCGAAGTAGACAAGACGATAAATGAACGTGGTGATGGTTGGGGGTGGGGGGGTTCGATTCCTCTGTTTTCTTTTTTATTATTTTCTTGATAATGAGTTGACAAGTTTGCCTAGTGTTTGGTTTTATTATTATTTTTAACCATTTGGATTGTTTTGTTTTTTAGTCACAAAATCATGTCTTCACCTGGCTGATCTGGTGTCTGGCTTTTGTTTTTCATTTCGTTTTTGCCTTGTTTTTTGTTCAAGGAAAAACTGAAAGCCATCTCTACAAATTCTTTAGATGCACATGGATCAGCTTCAAATTTTTCTAGAGGAGTCATAAGATGTGAATTGGATAAAAAAAAGTTATAGAAGTGTGAAAAACTAAATTAACTTTACACTGACATAAAAATTTTTATTTTTTATATCTACCAAATGCAATTGGTTAGATAAAAAAGGAAATGTTTATGATTTTATACATGTTTGAATTTGGGTTTTCCATTAATATATATACTTTGTCAATTTCTTTTATAAAAGGAAAGATTAAAGGTTCTGCCGTCCTAGCTGGCTTATAGCTATACAAAATTAGATTGCAAGTTGCTACTTATTTATTTGATAAATCAAATCCCAGTTCCAATGACAGCACCAAAATCTTCTCTTTTTTTAGTTCAAAAACATGAACCAAGGGCAACTAAATAAGCTAAAAATTACATTTAAAAAAAAAAAGCTAACAATTATAAGCCTATGTAGGATTATTATTTAAAGTTCAGTCACAATTCATTGTCAAATCGGACACAAAAATTTTGTTTGAAAAAAAAAAAAAACCCTAAGACCGGCTGATCATTGGTAGTTCATCAGTTTTATGAGACCATGACAAAAAAACGGCGTTTCAACTTCGATCCGGATCTGAAAAGCTCAGACTTGTAAAACTAAATCGCAAATGATGATGAAATGTATCCATCAGTTGAAGTGACAAAATCATCTTTAAAAAATGGCTAGAAGAAAGCCAAGATTAGGGGTTTTTTCCCCTCTCACTGCTATCAATAAAACGCTGTTTTTGTTGCCAAGATTCCGAGCATAATATTTTGAGAAATCCCCATGAAGATGATGTTTGTGTGAGTACCTGACTCTCCGTTATATTCAGCCGAATCTTCATCAGGTCCAAAAATTTTTGTTTCAATCTCCAAATAAAGAAGACATGGGGATAAGGGTTACTGTTGCTTGATGTCATTAGAGATTGACGGATCGAATTTTTGTTAATGAAAACTTAAATAAATAAACAAAGATTGACTAATCTCTAATTTAGCGTCCAAAAGAAAGCCAAAAGTGAGAAAAATCCAATTCATTCAGTCTGTGACTAAGATGTCCCACGGCAAGGATTACAATTTGTTAGGGTTTTTTGGAGGATGTAATGAATAGTCAGACAATGAATCCAAATTAAGGCTTAGTTTATTGGTTCAGCAGATTTTGGTGGAGTAATGGGTGGAAAGGTTGTAGAATTCTTAATTCGCGGTGTGGTCGGTAGCCATTTGATGCTGACCCGACGCATTGCCCTATATTAGATCATGGGTCGGGCTTGTGGATCACAATTGTCCAGAGCAACGCTTAGCCCAAGGTTATAATTCTCAAGGGAACCCAGCCTTAAGCCTTGGCCTAGCCAATAAATGTTGATTCCGAATGTTAGTTTTATGTAATTGGGCTATGTAATAGGAATTACTGATTCTTTCAAATTACTTAAATGTACAATATCATTCTATCAACGGTGCTTGGATTAGAATTTTATATTTTTTTTATTTAGTAATAAGATTTAATTTTTGATAATTTTAAATATTAAATAATAACACATTGTAAGTAAATTCAAGATCAACAAGAAAAAACTTACACTATTAATTTGTTAATTGCTATATATTATTCCAACATGCTGTAAATAGCAACAGTCTTGTAATTTGTGAAGCTGCTTCTTGAAGCAGATCACAATTCAAGACTTAACCTCTTCTCATTCAGTAACAAGTACAAGAAGCGGAAATTGTGCAGGCTAATAGATAACCATACGATATTACAAAAATAACAAAACTCGTAAGAAATTAAGTTTGCAGAATGTGAAAGTTAGCAAATGGTGCTGTGACCAGCCCCCCTTCTACTGGGTCCAGAATAAGCCTGAGCCACCTTGAATGTCTTGATTGAAGTAGAAGAAATTGGATGCTCGAGAGGCCTAGAGGCACCCACCTCTGTTAAATGAAAGAGGATGACGATAATGGCGACGATGAAGATGGGATTCAAGGCAAAAGAAATGATGATACGATGAACATTCTTCATCATTTTATGTTGTTATTTACTGTTGTTGTGGCTGCTATAGAGTACTAGTGCTCCGTTGGATGACTCCAAATTTTTGGGTTTGGTCGATACGTATTGCTCTTGGGGTATAAATAAGGGTAAAGGCAAACAAAGGGACTTTTCCTTTCCTGACCATGTTTCGAAATGAAGAATATTTGAAAATTCTTTTGATCATTCCAAGTGCACTTGTCGATACATGCATAAGAAAACTTTAACCGAAATCTCTTCTTGTCAATATTAAACTGTTTGTGAAGCATTAAATAAAGCTTCTTTCGACAAAATTTGCACTTCAATATATGGTCTAGTTCAAATTAAGGTAAAATAGGTTGAAACATTATTCCCTACCCAACAGGCACCCAAGATTAGGTTAAACCTCATAGATTTTGTTTCTGATTTTTATATTGCATGTATCTGCTGGCATTACACTTTTGGGTAAGACGAATCTACCATAAAATATGCTTTTGGAATTTGAGAAAGCTATGCTACCAATTCAACTTGAGATCAGAAAGAACAGATTTTTCAGTACTACTATAAATCACATAATAATTTGAGCCCGTGACCGAGGAAAGATGTCAACAGCTTGTGCTAGCTAGCTAGTTTGGTAATGGTACAGCGTGTGAAACTGCACAGCCAAGTTTTTCAATCCGCCAAGTGCGCCATGGTCGGCTCTACCGGGGTGGTTTAGACTTCTCTGAAGGATTATTGTTGGACTGCTGATTATAGCTTAGAGGGGAGAAAAAAAAATACAATAAACATTGCAGTTCACAAGCTCTGCTTTGAATGTTGAATCGCATTGTTTATTGAGATGCATGATTCACAATCTATTGATATAAGATTAGCAGCAAATCGATATTATTGGTTATGTCCTACCTACTTGAGAAAATAATAATTTGTATTGTGCTATTCAATTTAATTAAGACACCCAGTTACCGATTGCCAATGGAGGGCTCCAACCTGCCAGGTTATCCAAGTGTTAGAGAATCCGATCCGTATAGAAATTAATTTCCTTCAAAAGCAGGTTGATTATGGCATGGGGTTTTTTATTTGTAGGGTAGACCATTAATATTTCTCTGTAGAAACTGAACAAGATTTCTCATGATATGTTCGGTATAAGATCTCCTATATAAGTCCACCTACTGAGAGTACGTGCGGATCCATATGTGACTGCTGGTGAGAGTGATCTTATGGCTCCATGTGAATTGTGATATTATAGGTGTACTGATGTCTTAATTAATGTTTTTTTTTTTTTGGTTATAATGTCTTGATTAAGTTTAATTCATTTAGCAACTAGCTAGATTGCTTGAAATTAAGGGACTGAAAGAATGATCTGGGTTTGCTACTATTACAGTCAAAATGTAGAACTGGTTTTCACTTTCAAGTTCATTTTTCATTTACCAACACGTCGTGATCTTTAATTATTCTGTGTAAGCCAGAAAGCAAGAAAATGAAATTCTTTCCAAATTCTTGGTGGTCGACCACATTCACAAGAGCATATTCTAGGAAAGGGTTGAAACTTCCAAACACGCTCATAACTTTGTTTGAAAATGTTCCATCTAGTTCTACTTGTTTAATATACTACTACTTTGAAAAGCTTCTGACATAGACAGCTAAGCTTTGCCAATACAAACTGTTCCAAATAGAATGCAGTAAATGCAAATTGACAAAGAGGCCATCTGCTTTTATTTTGAGCTATGTACATTGCTGAGAAACCTAGTCTTAGAGAAAAATTTTACGACTTTTAAGACAAAAAAAAATTATACAAATTGAATCTAGAACTTTATTAGAAGGAAAATTGAGATGCCCTGGCAAATACTTGTAAGCCTCTTTCATGTATGTTACATGCACCGTCTTGTTCTCAGAGAAAGACAGTTCAACGGACATCTTATTTTCCATCAAAAGTAAGAAGAAATGCATCAAAACGCCACTTTGTCTAAATGTTTTCTTTTGGATTGTTGAGGATGAGACAGGTGGATTTAGTATTGTTGTTCTAAGTATTTATTTTTTATTTGAAGAATATATTTACATGCAAAGAGCAAAAAGAAAAGAAGACCGTGTCTCAGATGTAAACACACGCGTTGGATGTTCGAAAAAGCGTGTGAAAGCGATCTGGGTCGAACGTGACCACGCAAAAAAACGGCTCACTTGGTTTACTACATTTTGCTTCAATTTTTCTTCCCAATTTGGCCAATTTCTTGCCTTCTTTTCAGTGACTTCATCATGCTGAATGTAATCTGCAGCACCGGCATCGTAAAGTCCAATTTGAACAACACAAACCAAATTTCAAAGTAAAAGCTAGCTCTGTTTCTTCCAACCTCTCACCTCCCACGTTTCCTTGCCTCAGCTACCGATTTTGGCCACAAAAAATAAGCCCAAAATGTTTAAAATATGGTATTAGTAATGCTTTTGAAGGAGGGAAAGAAGAGAGGAAATTAAGGCTGAGTCAAACAATCCTTTTAAAGGTCCCACTTTCGCAAAGCTTTTCACCGTCCTGGGCAAGCAGGATCCTTTGTATATATAGAGCTTTAGCTAGCAATACCATAGCATTTCAACGACTACCCAATTTAAAACAATTGACAGAGCATTTGTTGTGAGAGACAAGCTCAGAGATTAGGAAACGTAGTCATGTCGACGACCAAGAACAGCTCAACATCTTATTCATCAATTGACCGTATTATTTTTGTCTTGGGTCTATTGGCGTTGCTGGTTTCAACGGAGTTCGCTGTTGTCCATGGCCGAGCCCTTCGATCAACGGCTATGGCCAATGTCGTTGTTCCAGGATTGGAAAAACAAGGGGGAGTTGATGATGAAGCGGTTGGTGTTCCTTCATTTGCCGTCTCAGCAAACAACTCCAGCAGTCGTAATTCGTTTAGGTGCTTGGCTTTTAGATTGGCCTCCGGACCAAGCAAAAGAGGTCCTGGGCATTAATTTTATGCATTTTTGGACTGGTTTTTTGTTATTTGGTTTTCCATGCACAGATTTGTGAGCTGTGTGGCATAATTTTCCTCTTTAATCTCCATCATCTATTTAATACATTACAGAAATTCTAAGAAAGCCATATTCATCTTTACTTTTAATACATAGAAGGATCATAAATTCGCAGAGCACTTGGGTTGCAGTACATATTTACCTACCTTAGTACTTTATTTTCTAACATGGGCTTCTATCCTGCTGTGCTTGCGTATATGTGTGCGCTCATATTTCATAATACTAGTGTCTGCTTTCGCTAAATACTTCTGGTCACAGGGTGGACAGGAGGTTGATCATGCCTGGGCGGGGATTGCACAAAGCCACCAAGGGCTCGGCTTTAGGCATGCTGAGCCCTGTACCTTCCCTCATATCAATCTCCTCCTGGCCAAACCTGTTCCACTCAAAGGACTGAATCAGGGCACCAAGCACCAGTCCCACCACTTTCCTGCCTAGAACAGCTCCAGGGCAAGCTCGCCTTCCGATACCAAACGGCAGTAGTTTATACCCTTCACTTTCCCCACCTCCAAATCTCTCTGGCATAAATCTTGTTGAGTCCACCCAGAGCTTGGGGTCCCTCTGGATAGTCCATGCATTGACCAATAACATTGTCCCACGTGGCACACTATAGCCACCAACAATGCAATCTTCTGATGAATAATGAGGTAAGAGCAACGGGGCAGGTGGAAATAACCTCAACGTCTCAGAAATTATAGATTGTAGATAATTCAACTTTGGCAGATGTGTTTCATCCAGGAGCTTGTCTTGTCCGACTTCAGCACCTATTTCAGTCCAAGCTTTATTCATTGCTTCTGGATGGTTAAGAAGAAGTGACATGGCCCATTCTATTGTAGTGGATGAAGTTTCAGTTCCAGCAATAAGCATTGCCTGCAACATCTTTCAGAGAGCTAGAAATCTTGAAATTTGAGGCGAAAACATATAAATACACCCTTAGGTTTAAATATTTAGTACAGTTAACTCCCGGACTTTGGAAAGTGACTTTTGGAGCTACAATGGAAGTAATTAGTGGGAAAAAAAAAGAATAAAATACTTGCACTACGTAATTTTTTCTAAAGTAGAAATATCTCCGTTGCCTACTGTCCCTAGAGTTTAAAATTGGCATGCTACGGCAAGTGGGGTCAAATGGAGAAAAACTTGTGGCCGAGGATAATCACCAATTTAAAAGTAGAATTACCAACTTGGAGAAAATTATACTAGGCAGCAAATTAAAGGAAAGATTCTTTGTTTTTTTTTTATGATCTTAATTGGATGATAGTTGTTTTAAAGCATTTATCAATGTCAATTCAATGTTGCATAAGTAGGCTGACTTTGGAAGCACATGTTTATCTGTAAGATAAAATGGTAAAATATAGATTTCCCGAGAAAGATGCATAGATCTTACCAGAATAACTCCTTTTATGGTTTCATCCGTATAGAATTCCGGTTCTGCTTGTTGCAGGGATAACATGACATCGATTAAAGTTGCTTTTCTTCCTTTGTTGCTTGCATTTGATGCACCTAGAGACTGATCGGTTGAATCGTCCCTCATTCTTCTATGCTTTTCAAGAAGGGATTGTAAGAATCTGTCCACTTTCTTCATAATTTCTTTCATCCTTCTCTCCACACCTTGAAAATCAATTAATCGCAGCATAGGCAAGAAGTCATTCAAATTTGTGCATCCATGGATCTCCTCAAACTCTCTAATGATGTCTCGAAACTCCTTTGCTTCTTTGTCCACTACATCTTTCCCATAATACCGCTTTCCAGCAATCATCCTTAGCATAATATTGAAAACAAGCTCGATAAGCTTTGATGTAACTTCCACCTTTGCTGATTTTCTGCTTGAAGCCAGGAATAGATCCTTCAGCAATAACTGAACTTCGTCTTGCCGAATGCTCGCCAACATGGCGAGTCGGCTTGTGGAGAAGAGCTCCAAAGTAGTGAGACGCCTAAGGTTACGCCAATAATCACCATAGGGAGCTAATCCCACAGTACTATTGTTGTAATTGAGGTACTTGCCAGCAAGCATCGGAGGGCGGTTTGCAAAAACGATATCATTTTTTGTTAAGCACTCTTCCGCTGCTGATGCTGAGGAGACTATAAGGACTTTTCGAGTTCCGAATTCAAGGTACAGAATGGGACCATATTTCTCTGAAAGTTCATGAAGAGTTCGATGAACTGGTTCCTTTAGAAGATGGAGATGACCAATGACTGGCAAAGCAGGAGGGCTAGGAGGGAGTTTCCTAGGACTGTTGCGTTTTTGTATGATGGATATGAGAACTAATGCAAAAGAGGAAAATGGGGAAGCTGAGTGTGATGTAGAACAAACTAGCTATTTCCATTCTCTAATGCTGATGAATCCTGAGGGTTACTCCCTTGTTTTATAGTAGGGGAATAAGACTAGGCACAATTCTCTTTCAAGAGTTGAAATGCTCAAAATACCCCCAGCATACATATATATTGACGACAAGTGCAATTATTTGAGCGGAATTCTCTGTAATAACGTATTGCTTTTTGGTTCTTAATAAAAAAATCATTTTGGCGAAGTCAATTTGGCTTTTGTTGATGTTCTCCCTACTGAAAAACGGATAAATGCTGGATTATAATAAGTTCAAGGGCTGCTAAAGATGCCTTCTAATAATATTGCTGTTATACTTTTCTTTTGTTTTTGGAGAGTAGAAACAACAATCTCTGACACTGTTCTCGGCGACAGATAATTCCATCATGCAAAGTTAAAGTTAAAAAAAAAAAGGAGTTTCTCAGCTCTTTTCTTTATATTGTGGTTATTCATTTATAAATAGGTATGTTTTTCTTTTGGTTTGCTGTGAATAATTCCCTAGGAATATAAGAACAGTGTTGGAGAGTGGGATTTTGAGTTTGGGAGGGGAAGCTTTTTCAGGGAGATTAAAAGAACGAAAACATTAAGACGAGCTTTGAATATTTGAGGAGATTTGAATGTGGGCCGAGGGTGGGTTGAAACGAACTTTACTTAGATCTGCCCACGTCCAAATGCTTTTATTCGGTTGCAGAGTTTGGCCCATTTCTTTGTGGGTTTCTTTTGACAATTCAACATTTTCATTAATCATATCAAACAGTGATTGTTCCAAGACAAAAATCTACCGTCGAACTATGTATGAACAGGGAAGTCTTAACTTATTACATGAGTTCCTGTTCTATTAGTTACTAGGGTGTCCATAACAAACTCAAACTCAAGCCTGGGACGGTTGCCAGTTGTCTGATAAATCTCTTTGAAAATTCTACGAGAATGTACGTTTGCAGATCCTCCTGAGTTTCTTGCTTTTAAGTTATCTTGATACTTATGGATTCAAATTAGGCTTTTTGTCCTGAAATATGAGTTTGCATTGCTGATGAGTGTAAAAGAAATTTAATCAATTATACTTGGAATTTTGATCTGTTTCATGATAGAAAAACTCTAAGAAAGCCATACTCATCTTGACTTTTAGTACGTGCAGAGCACTTGGGTTGCATTTACCCTGGTACTTTATTTTCAAAAAGGGGCTTCTTTTGGAATTAAGCTTAACAAAGTCTACCCTGCTGTGCTCGCGTATATGCGTGCGCTCATATTTCATAAAACTAATGTCTGTTTTTGCTAACTATTCCAGGTCACAGTGTGGAGAGGAGGTTGATCATGTTTGGGCGGGGATTGCACAAAGTCACCAAGGGCTCAGCTTTAGGCATGGTGAGCCCTGTGCCTTCCCTCATATCAATCTTCTCCTGCCCAATCCTGTTCCACTCAAAGGACTGAATCAGGGCACCAAGCACCAGTCCCACCACTTTCCTGCCTAGAACAGCTCCAGGGCAAGCCCGCCTTCCGATACCAAATGGAAGTAGTTTATACCCTTCAGTACTTTCCCCACCTTCAAATCTCTCTGGCATAAATCTTGATGCGTCCACCCAGAGCTTGGGGTCCCTCTGGATGGTCCATGCATTGACCAATAACATTGTGCCACGCGGCACATTATTGCCACAAACAACGCAATCTTCCGATGATTCATGTGGTACGAGCAAGGGGCCAGGTGGAAATAACCTCAACGTCTCAGAAATTATAGATTGTAGATAATTCAATTTTGGCAGGTCTATTTCACCCAGGAACTTGTCTTGTCCGACTTCAGCACCTATTTCAGTCCAAGCTTTATTCATTGCTTCTGGATGGTTAAGAAGAAGTGACAAAGCCCATTCTATTGTAGTGGATGAAGTTTCAGTTCCAGCAATTAGCATTACCTGCAGCATGTTTCAGAGAGCTAGAAATTTAGAAATTTGAGGCAAAAACATAAATACACCCTTAGGTTTAAATATTTAGTACAGTTAAGTCCCGGACTTTGGAAAGTGACTTTTGGAGCTGTTATGGAAGCAAGTGGGAAAAAAAAGAGAGAAAATAAAATACTAGCACTACATATTTTCAAAGTGGCACGTGGAGTTAAATGAAAAAAAAAATTACTTAAGGATAATCACTAACTTAAAAGTGGAATAACAAAACTTTTGCTTTGAAAATTATCACAAACAGATGTTATCACTCGGGGAAAATTATCTTAGGCAGCAAATCACTGGAAAGATTCCTTTTCTTTTGTCTTAATTGAATGACTATTTATTTTAAAGCACTAATGTCACTTCAATGATGCATAAGTCGGCTGACTTTGGAGGCGCATGTTAAAATGCAAGGGAAAACATAGAATTTCCCCCAAAAAAATGCATGATCTTACCAGAAAAACTCCTTTTATGGTTTCATCGGTATAGAATTCCGGTTCTGCTTGTTGCAGGGATAATATGACATCAACTAAAGTTGCTTTTCTTCCTTTGTTGCTTGCATCTGATGCACCCAAAGACTGATCGCTTGAATCTTCCCTCATTCTCCTATGCACTTCAAGAAGGGATTGTAAGAATTTGTCCACTTTCTTCATAATTCCTTTCATCCTTCTCTCCACACCTTGAAAATCAATTAATTGCAGCATAGGCAAGAAGTCATTCAAATTTGTGCTTCCATGGATCTCCAGAAACTCTCTGATGATGTCTCGAAACACCTTTGCTTCTTTGTCCACTACATCTTTCCCATAATACCGTTTTCCACCAATCGTCCTTAGTATAATATTGAAAACAAGCTCTATAAGCTTTGATGTAACTTCCACCTTAGCTGATTTTCTCCTCGAAGCCAGGAATAGATCCTTCAGCAATAATTGAACTTCCTCTTGCCGAATGCTGGCAAACATGTCTAGTCGGCTTGTGGAGAAGAGCTCCAAGGTAGTGAGACGCCTAAGGTTACGCCAATAATCACCATAGGGAGCAAATCCCATAGTAGTATTGTTGTAATTGAGGTGTTTGCCAGCAAGCATCTGGGGGCGGTTTGCAAATATGATATCATTTTTTGTTAAGCACTCTTCAGCTGCTGATGCTGAGGAGACTATAAGTACTTTTCGAGTTCCGAATTGAAGATACAGAATGGGACCATATTTCTCTGAAAGTTCGTGAAGGGTTCGATGAATTGGTTCCTTTAGAAGATGGAGATGACCGATGATTGGCAAAGCAGGCGGGCTAGGAGGGAAATTCCTCGGACTGTTCCGTATTTGTATGATGGATTTTAAAACTAATGCAAAGAGGAAAATGGGGAAGCTAAGTGTGATTATGTAGAACAAACTAGCTATTTCCATTCTCTAATGTTGATGAATCCCGAGGGGTTACTCCCTTGTTTTATATTAAGGGAATAAGACTAGGCACAATTCTCTTTTAAAAGTAGAAATGCTGAAAATATCAAACTAATGGGCCAGCTTACATATATATTGATGACAAGATTACTTATTAGAGTGGAATTCTTCATTGATCATGACTAACGAAATTATCTTACTGAAGTTATATATATGAGTACAGAGTTTATAGTTGATTATAAATTGTTACAGGGGACATATTGCTTTTTGAGAAGAAAATCCATTTTGGCTGTCATTTTTTTCTTTTGTTGACGTTTTCCTACCAAAAAACGGATAAATGCTGGACTATAAGTTCATGGGCTGGCCAGGATGCCTTCTAATAATATTGCCGTTGTTCTTTCCTTTTCTTCTCTTTTTCCTTTGTTTTTGCAGAGTGGAAACAACAGTCTCTTTGATTGTTCTTGGCAACAGATAATTCCATCATGAAAATTTTAAGTAAAAAAAAGACGTTTCTCAACTCTTGTCTATATATACTATAGTTATTCATTGTAAATAAATCTGTTTTTCTTTTGGTTTGAAGTGAATAATTCCCTAGGAATATAGGAACAGTGCTGGAGTATACATTCAGATTATGAAACAAAAGCAAATTGTGACTTTGTAAACAGGTCAGAGTTGAGAAAGAATGTTCCCTAGAATTTCACGGGGTCGGAATATGATCTTTAAAGCGCCATCATCCTCTGCTTTGTGCAGGCTGACTGCAACACCATCAGCCTGGTGATCTCCAATTCTCCATTAGCCTTTTTCCATTCAAAGCATTGAATCAAGGTCCCCAATGTCAAAGCAATAAGCCTCATGGCCAACCCTTCTCCTGGGCATTGCCTTCTTCCTAAACCAAATGGAATGAACTTATACCCTCCCCCTTCCCCCTCCTACCCGCTGCCTTGAAATCTCTCAGGCTTGAACATATCAGGGTCCTCCCACAACTTGGGATCCGTATATAATGCCCAAGCTAGAACCAATAACGTTGTGCCTTGTGGAATGTTGTAACCTCCGACCGTGCATTCCTTTGATGACTCGTGAGGGGGAATTATTGGCCCTGTCGAACCTAATCTGAGTGTTTCATTGATTATGCGATGAAGATATCGAAGCTTGCTAAGATCTGCATCTTGAAGTAGTTGGCTTTGTCCAATATTTTCATCAATCTCTTCCCTTGACTTTTTGAAGACCTCAGGGTGCGATATCAAATGAGACATTGCAGATTCCATGGTGTAAGTTGATGTTACTGTTCCAGATGTAAGCATTACCTGAACACCAGAAGCTCAAGGTTAGAAGCACGAGGTTTTACCATTATTATTTTCCCCCACCGCTACAGTCATGCAGATTCAATAGGTATAGAAATCTATAAAACATATTAGTGCAAGCTCACTAAAAATTCATACTACCAGAAAATGCAAACTATTTCAAGCAGATAAACATTTTCTTTAGGTTTTACCATAATTATTCCTTTGATGATTTCATCAGTGTAGCAATCTGGTTCTGATTCCTGCAGCGATAACATAACATCTATAATTGGTCGCCTCCGCTCCCCAGCTGTAATTGAAGGAGAGGAAATAACACTTCGACGTACGTCAACTAGAGCTTGAAGGAAATCATCCCTCTTTTTATGCGTTTTCAGGGTCCTCCTTTCCGCCCCATGAAAAGTCAACCACCTCAAGATAGGTACGTGGTCGCTCCAAAGAAGGTTGACTGTTGGATTAAACATCTGCCTTGGATCATTGACCGCGTCTCTAGTATTATCTGAATGAAAATCAACATCCAAATGCCTGTGTCCAGCAACTAGCTTCATCATAATATTAAAAGTCAAGATGTAAAAGAATGACCCAATTTCCACTTCCCTAGAAGAGCTCTTGAACAATTGTTTGAGTGGGCAGTGGATTTCTTCATGACGGATGCTTGAAGACCCATGGATACGTGTTAATGAGAAAATTTCAGTTGTAGTGAGGCGACGAAGGTTTCTCCAGTGGTGGCCATATGGGGAGACCACAAGCGTGGTGAAATCGTATTCAGCAGCCTTTCTAGAGGCAAAGAGAGGAAGGTTAGCAAAGGTGACGTCATTCTTTGTGAATCATTTTTCGATGGCGGAAGGAGCGGAGATGACAAGTACTGGTCTTGATCCAAAGCGGAGGAACATGACAGGACCATACTTCTTGGAGAGATTATGCAGAGTAAGGTGGATTGGCCTCTTCAAGAGATGTAAATGGCCTACCATAGGAAGACCAGGTGGGCTTGGTGGCAAGTTTCTTGGGACTATTCTGTTTCTTATGAAGAGTTTGAATATGAAAAAATGCAAAAAAGTTGCCAGGGCTAGTAACCTCCATGTTCGATCTGTCAAACACAAAAGCCGCCTCTGTTCTTTTTTTTGTCAGATTGGAGATGAGAAAATAATTTGAGTAATAGAAGGTATATGTTCCTCTTTGCAAAAGTAAAAGTCTTTTGTTTGACTAAATTGGATCATAAGTTCCAGGCAATCTCATTCACTCGTCTGTTATTTGACTAATTGGATCTAAGTTCCAGGCACTTTTATTCACTCGTCGTTCGCTTGGCCACTGTAAGCATCGGTCAACTACACCAAGTTGACTCTTAATCGCAACAAAGGAAAAGAAAAAAGCGTCTATACCCAAATTAAACTTTAAAGGTTTCAAATATAACACTAACACAAGTCCTGATCTGCAGTTTATATGTTTCGTGCATGCTTGATTTTCTCTAAGAAAATGGGCACAATATTACAGATGATATTTCATGTCATCCTGTTTAAGACGCAAAGCTCATCAATTACAGGCTGGCAGGAAAATTTTGACTCACTTTTGTTCATTAGATTCAAACTTGATAAACACATTGATTCGATTAGATAGAAACAACATTGAATTTGCTTGCCTACTATGCAAATTTAAGGATAGCAAATCAATTGCTATATAACTTAACCTTATTACAGAAATGGAGTTGGAGGGAACGCCAAGTCCCTTTAGCACTAAATTATTTTCAACCCCAAATTATTGAGCAGCTCCAACTTAAGCTCAGGCTTTACAGTTACCTAAGGAGTTCAATCGAATTTGAGCGTGGACAGCACAGAGCCTCCAATGGCTTAGCTTTTGAAAGAGTTATTCCTGAACCGGGGCTCATATCAATCTTGTCTGGTCCAACGTTTTCCCATTCAAAGCATTGTATGGCTGCACCTAGTGCCAAGAAAATTAATCGCATACCCATCGCAATGCCTGGACAAGCTCTTCTCCCAAGTCCAAGTGGAAGATACCTGAATCCTTCCTTCTCTCCAAAGGTTGATTCAAACCTTTCAGATTTGAACTTGCTCGGCTCTTCCCACAAACTGGGATCCCGATGGACGGCCCAAACATTCACCATTAGAATTGTACCTCTAGGTATATCATATCCACCCACCAAGCAATCTTCAGATGAGAAATGAGGCAACAGAAGTGGTGCTGGAGGATATAGCCTAAGTGACCCGTTTACAACGCGACGAATATAGGGAAGGTTGGCAAGATCTGAGTCATTCAGCAACCGCCCATGCCCAACTTGGCTATCGATCTCTGCCCTCACCTTCTGCATTGCCTCCGGATGGTTCAAGAGAAGTGACATTGCCCATTCCATTATAACTGCTGTCATTTCTGTCCCTGCATTGAACATTGTCTGATGCAAACGTCGCTTAGAGTATTTTTGGAACTTAGAATCACTTTAAGAGATAAAACGAACTGTCAATATTATTTAAAGTTAGTTTCCTTCCAGAATTTCCTGACATTTCTAGACTCTCAAAACAGTTTAAAGGCCAAACGCTCTCCGGAATCTTAAAATCCTCGAACAAAACTCTAAATAGTAAAACAACAGTGAAATGATCAAAGGCAGGACTGTACTGCTTACCAGTATCATGCTCTTAGTGACTTCGTTTGAACAAAGCTCAGGATCTTCCTCTTGAAGAGACAAGAGGGTTTCAATCAGTGAAGGCTTCTTTCTCCTGTCCTTTATCACGGCTGGAAAGTCCATAGAAGAATCAGTCTTTTTTAATCTAATTTCATCGATTAAATTCTAAACGTATTCATCTCTCTTCCTCTGCAGTTTTCTGATATGCTTCTCGATTCCTTTGAAACCTACCAACCTCAAAATAGGAAAGAAATCACAAACATTCATTCCAAGGTTTGGAAAAAATAAATCCGTAAATTCCCGCAAGAATTTTTTTTCTGCCTCGACGTCCCTGGCATCCATGTCAACCCCACGCTTTCCAACAACCATCCTCAACATGACATTAATCGTCAAGACAGAAAACATGAACTTCAAATCCACCTTTTGGGTGCCATTAGCTCAGAGTTCAAACAATTGATGAACAAATTTTCTAACTTCTTCTTCACGTATGGAACAAACCCTTTGAAGGCTATTTGCAGAGAATATCTCAACAACACTGAGTCGGCGAAGATTCCGCCAGAGAATACCATAAGGAACCCAAGCAATGGTGCCATCCTTGTTCGTCAAAATATCCCCTGCCATTGTACGAGGCCGATTTGCAATTATTATGTCATTCTTGGTAAAACATTCTTCAATAGCTGATGGAGAAGACACAACAAGGACACGCCTGGAACCAAATTGGAGGCACAAAACAGGACCGTACTGTGACAATAAAGTCTCCAATGCTAGTACAGTGGCTTTTTGATGAGGTGAAGGTGCCCAATAATTGGAAGAGAAAACGGACTTGGAGGTAGCTGTTGTCTTTTGTTTGTTAGAAGTTTAACGGTTACAAGGACGAAGATTATAAGAGCCAGGTACTGGCATAAATTTTCCATGGAAAATTAGAAAATCAGATCAAGAACACAAGAAACAAAGAAAGACCCTGAATGTTATCGTTCCAGCCTTCGAGATTAGGTCAAGTATGTGGACATATACTTTGAATTGATTGTATTTCTTCACGTACAGTAGTCTTCACTCTTCAGTTGGTAGGCAATTATTGTCCAATCAAGAAAGACAGGCGGGGGATTAGTGCATTGGATTTTTGGGGCCACCATGTGTCTTATGGAGGGTTTGTAATTGTATAGTAGTATCAGAAAAAGAGATTATATAGAAAGTTAATAATCAAGGAATAATTTGAATATAGGCTATTTATTTCGAGGGAGTGAAACTGGTAAACCAAGTCATCTGGGTTCGCTATATTAGAACACGTTGATTAGAATTTACCCCCAGGTAAAAAGCACAAAGAGCAAGAACTTGAAAGTTCCCTAAAACAATAGGTCAAGAACAAAGTGACGATAACGTTCCACGTTGAGTGCTCGATATTGATTATTTAATGTCAACTAGACCAAGAGGCAAGAGGCCAGAGGCAAGAGGCAAAAGTCAGCTATAGGCTGCCCAGTTTTAGATAAGGAATTAGTCTTTTCAAATTTCGGTACGTCAATTGCCTGAATATTTGTGGATTGTCCTTGTGTGGGCTCCTTGTCTATCATCTTCAACTCTTATCTTGTCAAGAGTGCCGCACTTATTCACTTCGTTCCTTTAGCGTTGTAGTATGGGCTCATGTCCTCCTTCGATGGCCCAACACTGTAAGGCTGCACCTAGAGGCAATTGGGGAAACGATCCACAAGGCCATGGCCGCACCTGGAGGTGCTGCCAAATGGAAGATTACTGGATCCTTCTTCCAAGCGCTTCGGAGATTGCTTAACTACCTGTCCGGCTTATGGGTTTCTCCAATGTTTGACCATAAGGAGCCCATCCTCGGTAAACGCCACGTACATTATCTATGATTTGCGATTTTTTTTCACTTATAATATTTTGGTTCCTTTTCGTTACTAAAAAAAAAGTAATAACAATAAAAATATTCAAATTTTAATAAATTACAAAATAATCTTTAACTTGTATTTTTAATTTTGTTAACCTATTCTAATAACAAAAGTGAACCTGAGAAAATAATTTTAAAAAAGAAAAACATAAGTTGAAGGTCGCGAACTAAAGCATGACAAAAAAATGGTGTATTTCAGTGAAAATGATGAAATTACTATTTCATGAAGTATTTTATGGACATACTTTGACCAATGATGTTTCACAAAATTTTACCGTTGCACTTTAGCATGCGTAATCAACCACCCTAAATCAGAAGTCTCTAACACTAACGGCGAACATTAAGGAATTTCAGCCGAGCCCATCGGAAAATAAAGCCACAATTCCGGGATAAGTAGTATCCACTCTCACAGGCTACTTTCCTGATGAACAAAGCCAATTTCCTGTAAGCCCACATTTAAGTTCCTTTGGACTCATCTTGAAAGAGTAATTTTCCACTGGTAATGCACGCCTAAAGAAACTAATAAAAAGAATCCACTAATAACTACATTAAATGCATACTAGTATAATATTATACTTCTAACACGCCTGAGGCCGTCGTTATTAGTTTTCATGCTAAAGCCCCATCAAATAAAATAAAGAAATTAAGTCTGAGAAAGCGTCCGGTGAATGTGCATTGCTTTCAGCAGACAGGAAGAAATTCTTGATGTTTTTTAGATTTAAAAAAAAAAAATTGTAAAGTTGTAGTGTAGGGAACTAGGGATAGGATGTGCAGAAATAATTAGGCCAACTGGAATCTCCGAAGCTCGCCCTTCTGATTGTCATCTTATCCATGTCCGTACTGCTTTCAATAGTCAACAAAACTGAAAAAAATTGCTTCTCGATGTATCTGATATTCCTGCAAAAATCTATACAGAGCTATGCCTATGCGTAATGTCAGTTCCAGGAACGATTCCATTTAAGCAGAGGCGCCCTCCTAATTTCTCAATTCATGAACGAATAAAACTGTCAAGTATCAAACTTCACTTGTTCTTGATATAGTGTGGCACTGTAACATTGTACGGAATTAACATTTCGGTTGTATTTAAACTAACTTAAATATAACACCCCATGTTTTTGTTTTGGTGAAACATGTTTCTTCATTGCATATAAAAGAAAGAACTCAATTTCTACTCACACGTAGAACTGATCAACTACAATTCTCTGCAACTTAATTGACAACACATTCAATGAGCGACAAGAACAATCATAGGAGTACTAAAACTAATAGACACCAACAATTCTGTAATGCAAGAGCGAGGGATTAGAGAGATTATTCTCTGATACCACCAAGCCTCTGAACCTGTTAGCTACTAAAAGAAACCTCTCAGCGTTTTGATATTATGAGATCCTGAAAAGTGAATAGAAAGCAATAAACTTGGAGAAGAAGAAATAAAAGGAGATAAGGGGCAACATAGAGGACGATTTGTTGCGGAGAGTGGAAACTAACCAACGGAAGGAACACACTCAATTAGTAATTGTAGACCAAGTTTCTTCATTACTTAATATATTTCATTTACACATATGTTGCGGTATGGACAATACAAAATATGGATGATAATGGACAAATTCCTTAAATTCCAACGAAGTTTTGAAACATGGATGCAATTGCCATTCACGGGGATGAAGAAGGCTCCCATCGTTGACAAAATGCGCAAAAACCAACATTCCAGTGGTTAATGGCTTACACTTTTATCAAGCTTAAAGTCTTATTTTCTTTTCACATGTTCCTCATTTAAACTAATCTTTCAGCAACACAACACTGATCAAATAAGCTTCAACGGTTGTGGAGTGGATCTGCTGCGTTTGGAACTTTCCTCTTGCTTGAAAAAAATACATCAAAGGAATGCCTCAAACGCTGGTGGTGGTGCTGCTGCTTCACAGGTTGCTTCTCTTTAACGCCTGGTGCATGACCGTTCATGCCAACAAGCATCGACTCTGCCTGCGGATCTCCTGAGACTAACAGAGAGAGCAACAACATTAAGACCATTAGTTTCTGCGACAGCCGCACTTGCAGAGACGGTTGAAAGTGCATGCTGTTGCCTAAGAGAAATTGTGGTTTTTCTTCTTGGTTGGGTAAGAAAGAAAGAAATCTAAAATCTTCCACTACATGAAAGAAATGAAAAAAAAAAAAAAACAAATAAATGGGTCCAATAAAGGGCGAGGGTCGTAGAGAAAAAGCACTTAGCAGAGAAAGGTAACTGGCTTTGTATGGAAATGTAGCAAAAAAAGACAATACTTAATAGCAGCAATCGGAACCTCAATTGTAAGGAAAGTTGACGTGGTGTTATTGAGTACCCTGCAGAAAAGGGACACATCTCACGAAGAACACTTTTCTTTTGCTCTTCTTCGTAGTAGAATATTACACTTTTCATGCTTTCCAAGAACTTTTCGTGCTTTTCTGTTTTTTTCTTCTTGCTTTCAATCCCTAAAATAAGGGTCATTCCACATCCAATTTATAGCAATAGATTATAGAATGTACTATTATATAATATTTATAGCAATAGATTATAGAATGTACTATTATATAATAGTATATATAAACCTTGGCTCTTGTGCTTTATCTTTGTCTTGGTTTCATTTGTCTGCTTTCGAAGGTAGTCGATTTTCTCTTTCTAGCTTCCTCATCCCTGAGAGCAGAGAAAAAAAAATGATTTTCGAGTATCTGAACTCACCAGCTATTAGACTAGTGGTGCTACTCTTCCAAGGACTTTTTCCTTCTTCATGCAAAAAGCTCATTCCATGTCCAACCAAAGCAAAAGCCAAAGAATTTGTGTACAAATCTTTTTTGGGTATAATAAACAAATCTTTGCTTAAAGTACAACTTCTGAATGGTCTTGTCATGCGCAAACTGAAACGGCTAACGGTTCTTCCCAAAAACCTTTGAATATATGCCACACCGTTTTGGAAAGTACAAGGAAATCCGCCTGTTTAAGCGGTACTCATTGTACTTAGTACTATTAATAGAGCAGATCAAAATTTAATAGATAGGTAAGGAGCACTCCGATACAACAATTAATCTCAATTGGGCCCAATTTTCAACCTCATATGAGCCTCCCTACCTAACCACATGGGTATTGGGCCAAAAAATGTTAAAATTTTTACATTTCCACGTTTTTTGAAATTGCCACAGGATTTTACACTTGTGGTCAATACGCTATTGCGTACCACATCAACTTAAAACCAATTGCTTGAAGTGCACTTGTCGTATGGAAGACAACTACATATTCCATTGGCATTGCCCACCACGACTTCAGGGAATGCCAAATTAATGCTTCAGGTAAAGAACATGGAAACGTATGATCACCCTCCACCTATGTTTTACAAACAATCAATCGCAATCAATACAAACAAACCACAAGAAAGGAGACAAAAGGATATTCATCTTTTCATTTATGTTATGATTTTACAGCAATTTGACATGTATGGTCATAAATAGGAACAACTTTGGCAGAGAACTAGATATAAGTGGTACTTCATTGGCTGGCCAACATATAAACCTTGGAAGATATGTATAGTACAGCGTTTGTGCATCAATATCAATCTGAACTTTGTAGCCTGAATGCGGAATCAACCACACTGAGAGGTTGAGACCAGCTGGACGTTAAAACCTTGTCCTCGCTCCTATAATTTCTTTATTCATAGAAAATGAACGTTATTAGTAGTTCTCAATCTCGGCTAGTCACTGAATAATTCATCAACAATAGAATGAATTTCAATATTTTAGAAAACCAGAAAAGTTATGGATTGATGGTACATGGATGGACAGGTGTAGTGTGAACTGTAGACAACTCGAAGGACTTCAATCTGAACTGTCTTTTAAACATATCCAAGCATTGATATCTTCTAAAAAAGTAACATTTATCATGGCAGGCTATTCGTATAAGTTTTAGGATTATGATATGACTGCTGTAAATGGATCCATTCACTAAGAATCGCGATAAACATAAACTTGGGAAACATCTATTGCAACTTCAGGTGTCAATATAACAATATCCATGAAAAATCAGAAGACTAAACAACACCAACAATCGTTACATCAGGTTTAAGTCTTAAGATTATTTATTAGATGAAAACCAAAATCTTACGTTTACAGATAGGGTAAGAGTTGAATATTCAATGCTTCCTGAGAATGATATCCATTTGTCAACAAAATAGTTTTACATCACCCAACCATAAGGCTTGAAAAATCAATTAAAGAACATCTCTTGACCATTAAACCTTGCAAAGGCAGATGTAGCTAAAACAACCACCAGGCACTTACAATCTATCAGTCAACATGATTCAATATTGTTGTTCTAAGAATCACTTACATACTAAAGCTCTGCCACGTTAGAAACATTTTGGGAGTCAGTAAGACTGCCAACAGATATAAATCTCCAAGCATTAACCACTTGCATCATAGGTGCGACATCAGTTTAAGAGTTCTTCAACCAATCGTGATTTGCAAGGTCGAGTGTCAGTCTCTTGGTGTTTGAATGTTCATTTCACCCACATCAATGCCTTCTCCAAGAAGTTGAATTATAGAAATTACACAAATCATAAATAACATATGTCAAACTTTCACCACGTGAACATCTTCAGCTAAGGAAATATCAACTTCTTCAACATCTTCAAAATAAGACGCTGGAATCTCTGGAGAAGCGGGCATTGTTGCCACACATTTGAACTGTTTCCAGAGAAATCATTATTATTTCAATCAGATTACAACCTTTACAGCTTGACAATATAAATTATAATCACATCAATGCCTAGTTATTATATGTACATACCTTATGCTGCTTGTACTTTTCTCTAACTGATTGAAGTGTACCTCCTCGTCTACTCAAGTGCAAGTCATGTATGATAAGGACGCATTCTTTTAGATCAGATGCTTTGTGACCTGAATATTGTTGCAAGGCACAGCTCTGCGGAACACATGATACATAAATATCTGCAAGCTATGGACAAAAATCAACACCATAAAATACCATGAGAGAAGAAAAGCATACCCAAGGATGTCTCTTTGGTCGAATTACAAATCTTGTAAGAAAGATTACAGAAGCAGCAACCACTGATGGTAAAAATTTTACGCATCCATAGTCCAACAAACTCAACTCTGCAAGGTAATATCCAAGGAACTCTAGCTGCAAGCTGGAAGCCTATAGAAGATAAAAAACAATTATACAGTCAATAACAGATAATAATAAGCTTGACTTTTAGAACAATTGAAAGAAAAATGGCCCTTTTCTTACTTTGTAATCTTCTTGTGCAACTCTGGTAAATCTCCTTTAAAACATCAGAGAAAATACAAACCACAAGTCAGTTCAACAAAGCATTAAGTTTTTAGCAGTTGCCATTAACTGCTATCTATGGTGAATACAAATCTACTTTCTAACCCACTCTTACCTCAGAAATGTTCTAACTGTAGGATTACCCAATTCAAACTTCAAGGACTTGAGTATATCTGCCTCCATTTTCACCACCTTCACATTTAGCCAAAACCTTTTAATGAATGGATGAAGCGATGTACTATGCAAATGAAAAATGAAAATGAAAAGGCAGATAGGTAGAAAGAAGGTGAAGACTACTAACCTCATCTTTTGTGTATGTATTATCTGTTATGTAGCAAAATTCTTCCACACTTGGAGGATTAATTTCCTCGTACTTTCTACTTGAAACAATTAAAACACAAAGTAAGTACAAAATTTACAACAATTTTAAAAAAAATTATCAAAAATCAAGGAATTCAGAAGCTTACGAGGCAATGAGCATTGAAGATATACCCAGTAACTGAAGCCTTTGCCTATTGAGAGCATTTAAAGATAGGAACCTATCAATGTAGGAAACGGTCATATATAAAGTATCTGAAACAATCTTGTATTCCTCTGCAACTTCCACCAACCAATCCACCAAAATCCCTCTCATATTTGTACTAACATCCTTCTGTACCTTCTCAATATAGTCAGGCAAAGGTCTTCTCTTTGGATCCACCTAATATTGATTGCATCACAAAAAAACCCTTTAGTGACTTCAGCAAAAATTCCAATTGTCAATAGCCATTATCAACATACCCAAAGCCCTATTTCCAACGTTAACAGCTTATTCGAAATCCAATCCCTGTTTCAATTACCATGGCCAAATAAAACAATAACCCATGATAAACCCGAAAATTTTCTAACAATGCTTCATATCATTCAGATTAGGAAAAAGGGAAGTTCAGTTTTTCAATCTGAAAAGATACATTGCTAAGGACAGAACATAGATTTAAAAAACATTAACCATATCATGTTAAATAGAGAGTGAATATGAGATGGGAATACCTCCATTTGGTTAAGATATTCATAGATATCGGATACGTAATGCCCACACATTTGAGGGTCATCAAATTTAGCATCAATATCCACCGCTTTTTCATCCGCAGCTTTCTCTTTGTTCACTTTCAAAGCCGGCTTTACCACTCTCGTCTGTTTCTTCACATTCCCTTTAGGCTGCTGCTTCTGGGTTTCCTTCGCCTGAACTTTATTCACCGAAACAACAACGTTAGACAAGTTGGAAAGCTCCCCCAGAACAACCCTTTTCTTATTCGTAGCTTTCTCCTCCGTTATCCCCGCATACTCGGCAACCCTCTTCTTGGCCGCCGCCCTTGTCACTCTCACACAGTTCTCTTGATCAGCCATTGCCTCTTACTCCCTGCCTCACTCACTCTTCAGTTAACCCTTTTGCAGTCGCAGAGAGAGAGGGGGGGAGAGGATTTGGAAATTAAGAGAAGAGAAGGTTAGGACTTTGTAGTAAAGGAAAGAGAGGGAGGATAAAAGGGGTGAAATGAGAAGCGCCATTTTGGGTTTTTGTTTTCAAACTCAGGCGTGGGGGGGTTGGCGGTATTTGGTAAACACTGCGCTCAGTTTTTTATTAGTGGAGTTTTGGGGCTTTGGGTTTTGCGGGCTCCATAGTTTTTTTTATTGGGGGTTTAAATTTTGAAACGGGAGAAAAGCGGGTTTTGGGGATTTGGGGAGGGGTTGGGGGCGGGCTTAGTTTAAAGTTTTCAACTTTCCATGATTCAGCCACCCCTTGTCCCGAATTCTTTTTGAAAGGTTGAAGAGTAATAAAAGGCCCCAAATGGGAAAATTTTTTCAGAGCGCGGTCCAGTTTGTGCAATCGGCTCTTCTGAATTTTCTACTACTACCATTAAGGCAAGATTTAAGTTGAAGAGTGGGAATCTGGCAGCTGGCTTTGGGTTTGGGTTTTGGTATTGACTGGGTGAGAAACATGATTGTAAATAATGATCGAATGCATAATTTTATTATTTACATAACGATATTATCAGTGCTTTGAGGATTCAAGTAAAATTTGTCGGAGAATTTTTTGGGCCTTTTGGGCGTGAATAAACTTTAAGAGCTATATTTTTTCTACTAATGTTAAATGGAGACATGAATCGATTCAAGGCCTGCGAACCACTGGGCCAAGAGACTGTGGTCGAATTAGCTCTATAAAACGGCTTTGACGTATTGAAAACATGAAAAATAATAATCTTATTGTTCTTTTTTAATCGAAAGATTAAACAAATTAGCAAGCACATAATCTCAAAGAAATACGACACCACGGCAGTACTACCTTCACTCACCAACATCAAATCTTAAAGAAACCCAGCAAAAAAAAGAAAAACATGGATACACTACGCCACTACGGAATCATGTCTGGTGTTGATTCATTGTCGAGATGGCTGAGGGTGTAAACTGAGACAAGTATAATTCGAGGAGCGCTCGTCCTCCTGGCTGCCCATCTGGAATATGATCATTCCCTGCCACAACAAATTTTCAATCAATTTTGTTACAAATTACATAGAATGGTTACATTGCTAATCTCCAGGCTCTCTTATTAACATGATCAGGTGTATGACTATAAAACATTTTAATTTTTCGTTTCATTCTCTTTACATAATTTATTGGTTTCAAATACCCCATTACATGAATTGAAAGTTGTCCCCCTAAATTTCTAAGAAACTAGGAACTAAATGTTCTTCACGGCCCACGTGAGAGAGAGATGGATATGATCTGCCATGTAGATGTGGGTTAAAATCATCGGTTTGTTTTGTCATAAAATCTTATCTGTGGTCCACAAATACCTGCAGGATAGAGTTCAGTCCAAGGGGACAAGTTGACATCAATAACTTGTCCGAACTCAGGACGTTGCATAGTTTTGTCGTTCCCCAAACCACTTCTGGGGCTCAACTGATCGTCAACGTTTATTTCTTCTCTATGAAGGACAGTCGTCGATTGTGGTGGTAAGATATTTTCAGCAACTGGTTGTGACTGAGCCCTGCAAATAATTAATTGAAGCAAAATTTCCATCTAAATAAGCGAACAAAATGATTATATGCTAAGAAAATCTGTGTAAGTTTCCTCTATCAGCACCTTGGAGGAAGAAGACCATTTGAATCCAAAAAGTTCAAAATATGAACCTGTGGGTCTCTTTGGGGTATCCAATCCAAGATACTACTTGAACTTCCTGTAACAAAACCACTTACTTCTGCAGTGTCTGAAGGAAGATGTACCTAGCAATAACATTAACAGAAAGCTGATTGTTTCGAGCGAGTTTAATTTTGATGGAAAGATCATGCCAATTAAATACCTGTACGGTTGGTGGTGGACCAGGAGAACTATATTTTTCCTGTAAAACTTGCTGTTCGAAACATAAATTTCAGTAACTCTAGCATATTTACATAATCATAGATATATTAATTTAGGTGGATAAAGAAATATCAAGTATGTATGCAACAGATTATCTATGTACCTTGCGCAGGCGCACTTGTTTCAGTGTTTCCTCTAGGATCTGCTCGTGGTACTCAGCCTGACTCAACGTTGTGATTTCGGAAGGTTCACCATCAAATATCCTGAAAGAAGTTAATTTCCTGTTTAGTTAATCTCAAGAACAGAATGAGATTAGGGTTTTATTAAGTATAGGTACCGATGAAAAGATCAGTACCTTAGTCGTTTCTCCATATCCACAATCCGGGACTTGCATTTAACGATCTCTTGTTGGAACTCCTGAAATTTTAAGTGAAATGAGATGATTGCTTAATAAAAAACAAAGGAACTGACGGCTAATTACTAGCTTTAGAGAAGGTTCTCTAGGCCAAATACCTCAAGTTGGGAATCAATGCTCACTGGACTGCTTTGCATAACGGCAACAAAAGATAAAAACGTTAAAATTAATGGAGAATCAAGCTTGTAAACAAACGCTAGCTAGACAAATAGTTCAAACTGAGCTACAAATTGGGGAGAAGAAAGAATAAATGACCTGGCTGCTTGGTGGGTTTGATCGGCTTCATCCCTTAGCTTTCCAAGTGCCTTTATTAGAAACTGGAAATATGTAAAAAAAAAAAAAATTGCATCGATCTTAACCAAATTCAGAGGCCTTGAAAATCAAGACGGTCGGTACTAAATGATAATGTTCATAGCCCATAGGGGAGTGTTTTTACCTCTTTATTACGCAGCCTTTATGTATTGTTGCATGGTAAGTTAAGCCAACATATCCACATCAATAGCAGAAATTAACTACACATAAATATCAACTGGAAAAAAAAAATACAGAACTCCAAAACTGAGCTTCCCTTACCTTCCTCTTTCATGCTCTGGAAGATTGACATACCGTCCCAGAATCTCCTCAATGCTTCAATACACCAAAAGCAAATATGAAACCTGATGTAATAGAATTTTGCTAGAACTCAAGGATATATATAAGATAGCTATATTTTCTTTTTTTTTTTGATCAAATATATGACAACTTATGATAGAAATAGTAATAATTAAAAAGAAAAGGAAAATTAAACGATATATCTTCAGCAGACCTTTTATTTCCAGAGAAGAGACTAACTCTTCCAGACGGGGAAAACATGATAAGAGCTACATCAACATCACAGAGAACAGAAAGTTCATAAGCTTTCTTGATGAGCCCATTTCTTCTTTTTGAGAAAGTGACCTGCCTGTTAGTTGTATTCTCTATCCTCTTGATCTGGAGCTTTACTCTACCCATCTCTTTATTTTCTCTTAATTTATTCTTCGGTTTTACTTTCTTTTCCCAAACAAATCTGCACCGTTAATGGAAGATGATACTGTAAGGAGAATAATATGTTGTATTTAAATATTTAAGACGATGAAAGACATCTCCGTCACTTATACTTGAACACGGTGGAAGTACTGTGGAACATACATTAATATTAGCCTCTTGGAAATCAATAAATGAAAGAGAAGGGGTTTGAAAAGGGTAGATGAGATGAGGAGAAAAGAGGGAAGAAAGAGGAGATGAAGACAACCTATCAATTTTGTCTCTGTCAGGCGATTCTTAGAAGCGGTGTGACCGTGAGGCCAAAAAGTTTACTCTTAAAGGATATATAAGGTGATTCATACGGAACATGAAATGTAATGTCCAGGGTTAAATGTTAAGTTACTATACCTCAAAGAATATATGTAGTAGAATATGTCATTGCTAGAATTTATATCATAAAGTCAAAAGAAGAGATTTGGCTTGAAATTGAACACATGAAAACAGAAGAATTATAAAAAAAAAAAAAAATTACCATTTTACTTGGCATAATTTATTATTAAAAGTTTAGTATGATGGATAAGGGACAGGGCATCATATATACACTCATATTGAGAGAGACCTCTTTCCAGTGGTTGTTGATGCACTAGACTGTTTGAATTGTAAGAGATAGCTGTAAAGTTGTTCAAAGGAAATGTTAGCAGACTCAAATAAATATTCTATCAATGACACAATTGTAAAGACTTTAGTCCTTGACTTGATGGTTAACATATTAAAATTTAGTACTCAGTTATCACTTTGAGTTGTAATTCCTCGCATAAAAGGATGAAGAAAGCATCTTTTTTGGTTTTGATCTGATCGAGGTAAAATGTAAGCATGTATGCTTAAAGGGCCCCAGGCAGCAAATGGTGTCGCACTTTCAGCTGCGGTTTATTTGGCGAGTTTGAGGAAGACGATACCCCTTCTGCCTTACCGCAAAAAAGCCAACCAAGTTTGCAACGTGTCGCCCTTTTCTTGTTTTCTTGGGAACCTCTGATTCTGCTCTACCTCCCCTGCTGACAGAACTCTGCATATTTCTATCATGCAATCTTGTCTTGTTCCAGAGAAACAATATTGAATGTCAACATATAGCTCTGCTCTTATTGGGCTTACCCCAAATATTTTCAATGAAACTCACAAGTATATTCCAACAAGACCCATGCCTTCCTTGTTATTGTATTGGACCATCGACTGATCCGACCAGAATTTTCTATTAGTGTCTTCCCTTGAATAACAGGAATTTTACACCAAAGTTTCAATGACATTTGTTGTGTAAATGCTAATATGCCATTACCACTGCCTCAAACTAATGCAGTTTTTACTTTTTATTTTCATTGCAGCCTTCTCCATGTTGTAAATATATCTCTTATAGGGCTGTTCGTGGAATCATACTGTTTACAACAAGAATTCCTGGCTATTAGGCAGATGGGCCTCATTTTGAATATGAGCAACCCGACAGCCCTTGTATTCGGTTCATTGGTTGTACCTACTCCAAGAAAATTGGGTTAAGTCATTAGTATTGCAATTATACCGAAATTTTCTTTTATGTGCGATTATATACAGATTTTGACTATTATTTATATAAGTTTTACATTGGATTTAGTTTGCAAATGAATAAAATCTATATTACTAGTTTATGCTTTTCAGCATGTCTGACTGGACAAATGTACAATCTATCTACTTAGTTTGAAACAAGTACTTTTTAATAAGTTGAAGTGCTTTCAAAACATGAAACACTCAATGCCTTGGACGTTTCTTTTGGTTGCCAAGGGCCACTTGGCAACTGGCAAGTGGGGTGCGAACGGCCGAGTTAAAAAAAGAGCAGCCCTTGACCTTGACAGGCTTAAGCTTCTTAAAACTAATGAAGGCCACCAATATTAACTGACACCTAACGTTCAAAAAAACTTGCCATTCAATTCCCCGCCAATCACAAAGGAAACGGTTAGTTGTGACATCCCCGAAACCTACCAGTCTTCTCTACTATGTCTTGTCTCCCCTCTGATCCATTGCATTTTGCTGCATTTTGCTCTCTTTCTGGTTATCCAAGGAGCAACCATGTACAGGCCAGGGATCTTACCTGATTCCAACCATGTTCAACATCAACGGTGGCAAGAGACTTGCGCACGATTGCTAGCTCCTCTGACTTTATGGATATGTGGCATGTAATTCTTTCACATGTTTTATAATTGTCTCGTTCACTGATCCTTCAGTCTGAAACAAAGATTGCTTTTGACTTTGGTTTTGCAGTGTCAGTAAGCCTCCGATATGGCTACTATGGGGATTACCGTATGGTGCTTGGACCAAACTCTTCTCGATTGATGAAGGCTAGTTCTTTTTTTGTGGAACATGTTGAAGCAAGAGATGAAAATGGGAAAGGGGCTCTTCTTTATGGGTTCTCCGAGAAGCCAGAATTAAGCAAGGAAGCAAATTGGAGCGCTTCAAATTATTTGATTGTTGGGTCATATGGTCACAAGGTAACATAAAAAATCTGTTTGCAGTTTTTATTAGCTTTCTATAAAGCTTTTTAAAATTTTCTAATTATGGTTTGAGATGACGTAGATTTTTTTATAAGATTGGAAATCGAATTTCAGGGATACTCTTTGTGGTTAAACAAGGGTTCTAGGATCTGCATAAGATGGGCAACTCAAACCAGTAGACTAGACAAAATTGAAGTGATTATGATAAAAGGTTGTTGTGTTAATTTCTCTTTGTTTTGAGTTCAGTTTTGTCACTGCGGAGTGTGGATTGGAACTTTAAGAACATGCCCATGTTTCTGCAGGGGAAATGAAACGACAAACATTGCTGCCCAAACTGACGGTGTCCTTTGATGCCCATTTCCTGAATGAACCAGTGATCGGTAAACCCATCCTTTTTCCTTTTTCTTTCTGTTCAATTATCTGTTACTTACTAAAGGGCGGGTTCCCTATTGGGTCACAAAATAGGCATCAAATAGGGGTCGAACCTACGACCTTCTGCTTAAGAAACAAACGCTTTATCCACTGGACTATGGTCGTTGCTTATTAGTGCTAAAGTAATTCTTTTGATCTTAAAATAGAACTGTACGCACTTGCATTTCGAGACCTATCTTTAGCTTTTGAGTGGGACGGGGAGACGGTCGGGCTCTGCGGAGAAACCTGTTTAATCTTATAGGAGCTGTGGGTTTTTCTTTATCGTGGCAACTGCCAATAATTTTGTTTGCTATGTGTTCTAACTTTTAAGGAAGAATTTTATTACCAACTGATATAAATTTTACAATCCAAAAACTTTTGAAATGAGAAAAATAAAAAAAATTCTTCATTTAAAACTTAATTTAAAATTTAATTACATCATTTTAATAACTTATTCATCTATTTTTTTTTTTTTTGTGTTTAATTATATGTGATTATCAAATCAAAATTAAACTATCTTATTTATAAAGATGAAACCTTTTATACGATATAAAACAAATTCAAATTCATTTAACTTTCAATATAAAATTATAAGATTTAAATTAAATCCCAACAAATTTAATAGTGCTACAGCTACTCCCTTTCAAATGCTCATGTTGACTAATAATAATTGCTTTTGGCTTCATATTTCAATCCGAGTGTAATTAGTGTGTTCTACTTCTGTTGTCAAATTTGTTTAAAAAAGCTTAGTAGAAACGTAGGAATGATAATCGAAGATCCAGAACAAGCATTAACCAGAAAAGATTCTAACAACAGAAGTAATTTTATTAACGTGGATTGCAAAACCATGAAAATGCAATAATGCTGTAACACTGTTGTAGATGAGTTTCAGATAGATCAGGGTGTTGATTGTACCAAGAAAACAAAAGATAGACAACTGTTGATCACAGAGTTACTGAACAAATTTTTCTATATTTACTCAGGTAAAGAAGCAGAATACACCATTGAGGAAGATGACAAGTATTATCTAGGTGTGATTAACTCGAATCATAGAAGCATAATAATAAATTTTGGTTTAAATGTTACATCGAAGGTGTATGATGTAACAAAAGCCAGCAACACGTGTTCAACACTAAATGGATCATGCCGGCTCAAACTTCTGTTTCCTGACACTCAGTATGTTATAGTTTCAACACCGGACAATGTAAGGTCTCAACCCTTTTGTAATCCAATTAAACTTTTTCAAATTATTAATGAATTTCTCCTTAACTTAGTGAAATTAATTTTTCAGGGTGATATTGCTGGATGGTACATTGAGCTATCTTTTGTAGCTCGAGTTATTACTTACATTGCAATTTTAGGTACCATATTCATGTGCAAACTTGACTCTGTTTAACTCTAAATTACTTTTAACTGCTATGGTGGCCTAATAGTTTTGTCATCTGTAGGTTTTTTCATCATTATCGTTTTACTGTTGCTGAAATACCTTGGGGCATGTGATAGTGAGACAACGGTAGCTGATACAGCATCTCGGGAAATACCCTGGAGAACCGAGACTGACCCTATATTGCCAGAGAAGCCGGTTGGGCTGACCTATGGAACAACAGCAGAGGAAGACGATGACGCTGAGACAGGATCATCTAGTAGCTCTTCAGAGGATTTATATGATGCAAAATTATGTGTAATATGCTATGATGATCAACGAAACTGCTTCTTCGTTCCTTGTGGACACTGTGCCACTTGCTTTGATTGTGCTCAAAGGTACCAAGTGGAAAAATTTCCTTCCCCTCTACAACATAATAATAATAAAAAAAAGAACTTACACTAACAAAAACTTTGCAGGATTATGGAGGAGGATAACAAGATGTGTCCAATATGTCGAAGACTCATTCACAAAGTAAGAAGATTGTTTAGTCCCTAGGAGCTAATGAAATGGGATTGTAATTTCATGTTAGCATTGTCAATTTGGCGAGTGGTGGAGGATTGCCTATGAAAGTTCATTTTTCTCAATCGGCCTTGATGCTAATAGTAACCCAGAAAGTTCATTTTTCTCAACCAAGCAGCATGGAATGCTTGGTTTTAGTGGTTTGTATTTGTTTTGTCCCAGCAAGCTAGTGTCCTTTCTCATATCTTTATCACTTGGGAAAATGGGCATAGTCTTTCTTGTGTTGGCTAAATGAATATAATGTTCTTGTGGCATCATTCTTCATTCTTATATATTTGTTCTCATAAATGATTGTGAAATGGAGAGCAAGATATCCATTTCTAGACTGGATTCAGTCACCTGCAGGATACGGAGGACTTTGCAAACAGCTCCAACTTCCAGTCCTCTTGTTTATTGGAAATGAAAAACCAGTAAAGTAGATGACAATTTAATATGATACAAAAAATTTTCGGAGAAATCTAAATGCACCTCATTTAATGTTATATACATCTCACTTCTATGTACATCTTAAATTCAAAACTCATTTTCCTAATTTTACTAATACATCACACCCTTAATGTTTTTATTTTTCATTCCTATCCTTTCTCTCTTCCTTTGTCTTCACTTCCTAAAAGCAAGCTTCTTCAAAATGAATATCTGAAAAGTTTTAAATTTTTTTGAAAATAAATATTCGAGAGTTTTTGAAATAGATATCTAATAAACTTTAAAAATTTTCAGTTATCCATTTTCGAGAAACCTTGAGTCTTCTCGTAAATGGATAGATATGAAGTTTTTCGGATTTCTATATCCAACAAGTTCGATTTCACTTTTAATTAAAAACTTTAATCAAATGCTTATGAATCAATTTACTTGATTATGTATGCAAATTGACTTGAAATCAATGTTTTCAATATGTATGGAATAAATAGAAATCATTTTCTTAGTTTTATGAGCTTAAAACAAAAATATTTTTATTCCATACATACTTGAGAATTTGGTCTCTTCCATTTACACATATGATCAAGTAAGAATAGTTACATAAATGATTCTTATGTGTATGCATATTAATCTGAGCTTGAATATTCTATAAAACATTATCGTTGACAGTATTATTGATAAACTAACAAATCCGATAATATCTAATTTTTCAACCACTAATCTTTATTGTCGGATTTATTAGTCTATTGATGATATTTTTGAGTGACCTAAAAATTAAAAATCTTAATTTTTTCGTTATCAAATGTTTATAATTAAATATATATTTTTTAAAATTTTTTTATATATTCTTGAAAACTAATTTTCGAGAGTACATTATGAGTCTCGAAAATCCATTTCCAAGAAAGTAGTATAGGTCTTGATAATATATTTTCAAGAGATATTTTTGGTTATCAATAATTTATTTCTAAAAATTATGTTGCTTTTTTGGAAATGGATTTTCAAGAGCATATTATAACATTTGAAAATTCATTTTTAAGAAATACGAAATGATTTTTGAATGTATAAACTATTAATGGTATTTTTGTTATTTAATAAATGTTAAAATTGACATTTAATATTTGAGTGTTTTTGGAAAAAAATTTAGAGATCTACAAAGAAAATTTAGAGGGGTACTTAGAAGCCCAAAATTTCGTCACGAGTGTTGACTAGTGAACGATATAGACCGAGGCCTTCTAGAATGTAGATAAAGGGGAAATCGTTCTCCCAGTTTCAAGAAACATGTTATTTGCTTTTGAATGACTTCTCCATTTTGTAGGTAAAGAGTCATTGTCCCCATGGCAAAAATATGTGTTTTCTTTGCGGTACTAGTTGATTTGATTTCAAGATAACTGCATGAGCAACTCCTTTATCGTATTATCTTCAACAGTTTTACTGATCAGACTTGTGCACTATGGATTCTTATCTTCTATTCATCCAGATTTGATCTATAAACTGTTTACTAAAATAATATGATGTTGATAGTTAACAAGAAAATTATAATTGTGTGACTTCAGTACTTCCAACTCGATAAATGATATGCCAAAGGCAGGTGAAGCATATTCCAACGTTTTATCGTTGTCATTAAGCCCCTTGGACCACACTTCTCCTCTGAAAATTCAATGACGAAATCCCTTTCTCTTGCATTACCATTTGAATTACTCCTCCATTTTAGTTTGGATGAATCTTTCAAATAGTCTTTTAACGTTAAAAGAAAAGAATCGCCAAGATACGACAGCAAAATCATGGCTTTTAATATTTTGAAACAGATCTATCTTAATGCAAACTCAAAGTTACGTTTGTCATCTACCAATGGTTAATTCTTATCACATACCATACTTTATTGTTGTCGGGAAAATTTTTGACACTTTTTGTGATATTTTTATGGTTTTTACTTTTTATCTGCCTAATGCATAAACGTATCTTAATCTTCAATTGAAATAAATTTGCAAGTTGTACTTTTTAATTTTTATGCAGTTATTTTTTAAAAGAAAAAAGTTCGAATTTTAACATTTAATTTTTCATAAAAAAATTAAAATTTGTTACCATAAAAGTTTGTTTTCATCAAAGCAGCACTTAAAAAGATTTATAGCAGTAGTGACCATAATCTAAGGGCCGCAACATCCTAGACATACTCTTATGCAAGCCTCCAATTGTTTGACGAGATTAAGTGTCATGAGCTAACCTTATATAAGATCATAATCGAGCATAAAACATTATGAGTCACTCATATATAGGGTTATGACTAAATAAAGGTGTCAAAAAGAAGGATAGATTTCATATGCTAGGAAAAAATGTTTTCATATCAAATATTATGTCATAACGTATAGATCCGTGGATTTATCGCTAAACATAAATTATAAAAGTTATCATTAATTTTTTTTATTTAGATGTGATTAACCATCTAATTGAATTTATTCTATCTAAAAAAAAGTCTTAAGATTAACTTAAGTATCTTTAAATAGTAGATTTTGATTTATGAAATCAAAGTTTAGGTTCGAGAGTTCGGTTATGCGTGAGAAAGGTTATAGCACCCCTACAACACCCATCAAAAAATGGTACTAGTTGGATTTCAAATTATCCAAACTTTGATCATATTTGTGATTTATCAGATAATTTAATATTGAAAATATATCTTAAAATTGTCCCAATAAGTTGGTAGCAATTTAAGATAATTCTCTCCCCTCATGAGTATTCATGGAGACTAGTATTTTACTCTGAAAAGACTCCATCATTGAATTTATTAATGTATTTTTTAAAAAAAAAATTAGTAAAATCTCATAATAATTTAGTAAGACTTATTTTGAAACAATCCTCCAATAATTTAAAGGATAAAAATTATTTTTTATTTTTTTGAAAATTGATTTATGAAATTTCTCAATAATTTAGTGGATTCTATTTTAAAAATTAAATCCATGAAAATTTTCAATAATTTAATAGAGTTCATGAATTTATTTTGTAAGGATTTTTATTTGAAAATTTTTTTATTGAAATGATTTTTTTTTAGTTTTATAAATATTTTTTGAAAACTTAAAAAGATTTTTTTTAGTATTATTTTGAAGTCTTATTTGAAAAGATTTTTTTTTTGTTTTTTTGACTTATTTGAAAAGATTTTTTTTATATAATTGTTTTTTTTAAACCTATTTATTTTCAAAAATAAAATAACAGAAATAAATTTTACAAAAATTTTTAAAAATAAAACCATAAAAAACTAAAAATAAAATGAGCCAAAAATAAAATAAAAATAAAATGAAAAAAAAACCTTGTGATTGAGTCAGGTTGGAGCACAGGTTGGCACGTAAGTCAATGGGTCAAAGCACAAATCTGGGTGTGCCAAAACAACATCGTTTTGGGCTATTATAAAAGGCAACTTCCCAACGTTTTTTCCTCAGAATCCCTTCTGCTCTCTCTCTTTCTACAACCCAAATCCTTTGACCTCTCTTTTAAAATTTCTCAAGAATCCACTTACAAATTCAATTACAAACTGAAAATCTCACCGATTTCTAAGAATGTTATCAAAAAATTCAACTGAAAATCGAAAAACCCATCGATTTCTGAAAAACTGGCCGAAATCCCACCAAAAAATTCAAACCCTGTCGAAAAATTCATTCTCAACCGAAAAATTCATCCAAACCCAGATTTTTCCAAAAAAAATCCCAGATTTTCCTAAATTTACCCAGATTTCTTCAAAAATTCTCCAAAAACTTAAATCAAACCCTAAAAACCCAAATCTAACCTAGAAACTTTAAATCAAACCTAGGATTTCCAAAATCAAAATCCTAGACAACCCTTTTTATTACCTAAGTAATTTTCCATAACCAAAAAATTCCCAATTCACCATGTACCCCTCAAATCCATTCTATATGTATTGTTCAGTAACTGTGTTCAATTTATAAGCCCCCTTAGAATAGATTTTAGAAAACAGACAACATCAATCCCAGGCTTAAATCCTAGGATTAGATTCTGCCCAAGCCTCAAATTAGGTTTAGGTTCTTTGTTAATTTTCTAGATTGGCTCCATAACCCCCAGTTATGCAATAAAACCTTTGACTTTGTTGAATTCTCTTAATAAGATTTTAGTTTTCAAAATTCATGCCAGAATCGAAATAAGAAAGGAAATAATAATAATAATAATAATTATTATTATTATTATTATTATATCTATAATAACTATAAAATATAATATAGTATAATAATAATTATTATTATAATAGCTATAATAACTATAATATTATGATATAATAATAGTGATATACTATATTATAATACTAGTAATAATAATAGAAAAAATAAAATTAAGCTAATTGACCCTGGACACATATGGGTATCTATAGTTGCCCCTCTTTGCACATCTCTGGTAGACAATGATGATGCAAAGACCTAGACACCTATTCTATTAAAGTCAAATCAGCGAGCAAAAATGACTAGATGAAACCAAGTGATAATAAATGATCTAGACTAAGCCAAGATTAGGTGATTGGGATGAAACTATGAGTAAAAAATGAAGCAACTAGGACTAAGTCAAGGTCAAAAATAAATGACCAAGACGAAACCACAAGTCATAAGAAATGATCTGGAACTAAGCCAAGATTGGGTGATCGAAATGAAATCACGAGTCAAAAATGAAGCGACTAGGACCAAATCAAAATAAAAAATAAATGATCGGGATAAAACCACAAGTCATAAGAAATGATTTGGATTAAGCCAAGATTGGATAACTGGGACGAAACCACGAGTCAAAAACGAAGCAACCAGGACAGAGTCGAGGTCAAAAATAAATGATCGAGATAAAACTACGAGTCATAAGAAATTATTTAAACTAAGTCAA